CCATACAATTACACAGTGAAGAGTTTGAAGGGAACAACCTAGGCCAAAATGGCCGATTTGTAAAAATTCTCCAATTCAGCTCACTGTCCCATACAGCCATGTTGTCCCAGATTGTTCCCTTCTCCAAACTCCTCACCCTTCTGTGAATAACCCTGATAATGTCCCTCTCCTTACGGCTATATTTTTAGCATAAACTGGAAGATTTCATTAGGGGGTTCTATCCACTTTAAATTCGACTTTTCTTATAAGCACAAAACACCAATAGTCTGACTTCTCCCATCACTAGTCAGTTCTCAGCAATTACTGGGCTGCATCACCCTGACCTCCAGGATTGGTCCCTGACTCTCGTGCAGGTTATGTGTGTGGTACGTACCAGTCTTTCACGGTGGCCTGGGCCTCCGTCCCGTATTCCTGGCTCTTCTCACACTGCTCGATCAGATGCTGCAGCCTTGGAACCAGTTGGTCGGTTTGCTGGGCGTAGTGGGCCGAGAGCAGCTTCAACAGGGCTGAGGGGGGAAAGGGAGAAAAAGGAGTGTCATCACAGTAGAAGAGGGAAATGTTTTAAAAAGGGACCCTAGTCATACTTTGCAAGGGATGCAATCAAGGTGGCCGATAGGTAGGTGGTTGGGGGGGCAAGCAGTACTCTGCTACCAGGCCTGGGCCCCCATCGGGTCAGCTGGGAGGCTGTACGAGTCCCATGATTTAAAAATGATGGCTATAATATATATATATATATTTATATTAGGGATGCACTTATATTAGTATTAGTATCGGTGCCGATACAGAGTATTTGGGCAAGTACTCTTACAAATGCTCTGATGCCTAGCCCGATACCGGAACTTCCAGTATCAGGAAGCCGGGCAGAGAATCATTACACACTGCCCGGTTTCCTGAGTGTCCCGGCTCCATGCTCTCTCATCACTAGGGAGCATGGAGCTGGCTTCTCGGCCAATCAGGAAGCCGGGGGTCAGGTAATGATTCACCGGGAAGCCAGCTCCATCGTCACTTGGTAAGCTAGCTTCCTGGCCAATCAGGAAACCGGGCAGCGTGTAATGACATGGTGACGAGAGCAAGGAGGAGTCGGCTTCCAGGTCAATAAGGAAGACGGGGGCCATGTAATGACTCGCTGCCTGATTGGCCAGCTTCCTGACCAATCAGGAAGCCAGGCGCCGAATCATTGGCCACCGCCCCCAGCTTCCGGATTGGCCAGAAAGCGGCTCCATGCCACCAGGTGACGAGGGAGCTTGGAGACGGCTTCAAGGCTAATCGGGAAGCCGGGCAGCGGGTCAATACACGCTGCCCGGCTTCCTTAATGGGACTTTTGGTTATCGGCGAGTATCGAAAAAAAAAAAATACAAAAATAAAGTTACTCGTAGTCGATACCGAAAAACCGGTATCAGTGCATCCCTAATATATATTATATCTCTCAATCACTTGTGTGGGAAAAACATGTCACGTGACCCTCTTGCCTTTCCCTGTAAATCTGCAGCCGCTGAGAGAAATCGCCAATAAAAAGGTCACTCTGCTTACCGTCTGTGTCCGGGCTCCGGCTCTCTCGCAGCCGCTTCAGTACCTTGTTCATGGCCCGATTGCGGCTGCTCAACTGAGAACGCAGGAAGAGCAGCTGCTTCTTCATATCGGCGACGTGACAGAGGATGGTCTCCGGGGCCTGTGAGATAGAGGGGAAGATCAGCTTGGTGAAAGAACAAAATGGCCGCTCTCGCGTCAATAATATCAGACGGCGGTGCTAAAACGTTACAAGCCATTTGTTCGGGGTCAGGACAGTCTCTTCATTGACAAGTTCTATATTTTACACGGCAGAGGTGTCGGTACATTTCAGGGATACAAATGCTTCTTCCAACACTTTAGTGTCGTCATCATCTGCACATTCCCTCCACAATAGATCTCAATAAGTCACTCGTTGCTACCTGAAGATTGTGATTTAGGAGAACAGGAAGTGGAGTCTTTTTTTTTTTCCTCCGACTTCCTATATTCTCAGAAATCCTATAACCTAATGATCTCATCAGATATGCTTGAAAAGTGCACAGATGCCAAGCCCCTGGGGGAGGGTAGACCAGGCAGGCGCCCACTTCGCATCCTTTCGCCTGCCTGGGCAAACCCAGTCCCAGTATGCATTGGGACATCTATACCAGTGGTGTTGCCGAGTGTCTTAGGCTTACTCCACAGTTTCCGCCTACACTGCTGTCAATCATCTTTTGCAGTCATTGGTGGGCGGGACATCCCAGTATTCCGAACTACCCAGGTCCTCCGACTGCAACGACTAAAAAAGCCAATAGAGAATAATGAAAGGTAAGCGTTCCCATATATACAAGTGCTTTTATATTTCTCCCCGGAGTTGAGCTTTAAAGTGCTATTTACTGTTTAAAGGAGAAAACTGGGTCCCTCCGACGCTTTACCTTGTACAAGGACAGGCCCATACTAGCGTACATCCCTTTGTAGACATTATAGTACAGACACTGGGGGCTGGACAGGCGATTGATGGAGAGGTCCTGAGCTGGGACTTCATTTACACTGCATGAGACAAAGAGAGGGAAGACATTGGCAAATCAGCAAGAAGAAATAAACCAACCAAGAAAACAAGTAACATTAGTCGTTAAGCAACTCATTCCAAACAGACACATTATTATTATTATACAGGATTTATAGAGCGCCAATAGTTTGCGCAGCGCTTTACAATATAAGGAAGACATTACAGTCACAATACAATTCAAGACAAGATGGTAAGGAGGGCCCTGCCCCTGAGGGCTTACAATCTAAAAGGCACATTGGGATAGATTTATAAAAGGAGGGAATCTAGCATTCAAACATTCACTGCAGGTATTTTAAATGACAGTGACTGGGTCACCCTAAGTGAATGTGTGCGTGAAAGTCACATTCACTGCTTTATAAATATGCCCCAGTTGTGGACATTGGGTGTACTACATACGGTCATAATAAAAATCATTTCAGTGAACAGGGCATGTGTAGAACGCCCTGTCCTTCTTCCCTGCTGTGGTTATATATATATATATATATCATTTTTTTATAAACTTTTCTAGAAAAATAATAATATTATTATGTAGTAACATAATTCAACTTATATTCCCTTGTTAAATTAACCTATGCAGGACCGCCAGGCGTTCATAAATGTCCTAGTCCTGAAGTGGCTTGTACCAAGGTCATGGCTACTGCTATGGAGACATAAATAGAACCTTAATAGAAGTCACCAGCACTCGATGATATGTGCAAGAAGTAAAGCACTTTTTATTCAATTGTCACATGCGTCAAACAGCCAATGTTTCGGGGGCCATGCAGGGTCCCTTCTTCTGGGCGACATAGTGATGACATATCTTACTCAAGGTCTGTACGCTGCATGGAGTGCAGGTGATTTCGTATTATCCATAAATAGAACCGGTCACCTCCAAATGCTGTCACATAGGGGCTGTGTTAGGCCCTCTGTGATAGCAATAAAAACTTAAGTGACATAAAAAAAAAAAATAGTAAAAACCTACTCTGCCATCTGCAGGGGACCCAAAAAAAATGTGCATAGGGCATGTACGCATACATAACATGACAATTGCACCACACATTAGGTACCGTCGAACGGAGTGACAGCAATAAGTCTAGGTCTGAAATTTGCTGTTAACTCTAAACTGATGAGCAGTAAAAGGCTTTAAGGCGTCACCTATAGGCGATTTTGCGTACCATAATTTCTTTCCATTGCACGGGTGCACGCAATTGTAATGCTTGACATGACTCCCTCTATTATATATTTTACTGGGAAAAAAATGGGTATTATATTCTGTTTCTGTGCACTAAAATTTATTTTAATGTATTTCATCCTAAAAATATTGGTTTGATAAACATTTGCGTAAATATCGTGCAATATAAAAAAAAAATTGCAACTAGCATTTGTTTATTCTACAGGGCCTCTACTATTAGAAAATATATACTTGTGTGGGAATATTACGCAGTTTTTTTAGCCAAAAAAATAAATAAAATATCAGATTTTATCATGTGCAAAAATTAAAAAGGAGAACTATGTTAAAAGGAGTGCTTTTCACTCACCTCATAGTTCTAGCCGACCTGTGACAATGAGACTGTCACAGGTCGGCTCAGTAGATCGGGAGGTGAGGGAACACATACCGGCGTTCGCTCACCTCTCGATCCTGTCACGGCTCTCTGCAGTGACAGGGGAGGGGCTGGATTGCCCTCTCCCCGCTACGATCCGACAGCGCTGACTGGCGTAACGGACGGGTACAGCTCACTCACGTAGCTGGGCGGATCCAGACATAATTGTCTCAGCTGTAGTGAGCCTAGGGTGACGGGAGGACGCTAGTTCGTGTCCTCCCGTTACCCTTAGGAGAACTATGGGGAAAAGCCTTAACCTCATAGTCCTTTAATAAATGTCTCCGGACAGCAAGTGGTTAAGTAATGTTGAAGTTCTTGCTGCATAAACAGGCCAATAGTGGACATGTAGAAATTGCTCTGCCCCATAGGGGGGTGTACAGGGAGGAGAGCTGAACTGGTTAAGTGCTGGCTGCAGAGACAGTACAAACTGTGAATTTCCATGACTGTAGAACCGCTTACCCGTCTGCGCACAGTTTCTGAAATGCTGGTAGGGAGATGGCTGAGAAGTGTTTATTGTCCTTCATGATGGAATCCTTTAGGCGCTGAGACTCCAGGGCTACTTCCTGCGGACGCGGTAGGAGCTTCTCTTTAACGTACTTCTGCACCTTGTGTGGAGATAGAGGGGGAGCCGCAGTGAACAACTGACGCATCTACATCCCATTTACTACACAGATCCACAATGATCTACATGACAACTTTACAAAACACTTAAAGTGTATAGTCGCTAAAAATAGACTGCACTGTCCCTTTAAGGTCTCGGAAACCGTCGGACATGGCCTCACCTCTGTGCAGCTGCGTCGAATTTGGGACTTGGCTGTGGCGTTTGCCCTGATTAAAATTTGGATCTGTTTTTGCTTTTTGTCCTGTAACACAAAAGTAACAAGTTTAGAGATCTGAAGGAAGAGACAGAGATGGAGGGCAGATGATGAACACAGGGCCCCACACGGGGACGCGCCACACTGACCAGCAGCAGGCACGAGTCCTGAATGTTCTGTTGTTGCTGTTGGAGATGTTTTACTTCCTGCTTCCGCTCCACAGCGCTTTCTTGTAGCGCCCGACATTCTTGCAGCAAAGCATCCTGACATCCTCGAAGGAGCACAGATCGCAGCTCGGCATCAAATGCAGCCCTGACGAGCATGCATCCAGAGGGGGGAAGAGAGCAAAGTGAGCTTGCGTTAAATGGTTAGCAATAGGGTGCAATACCCAACCACAGCCTGCAGGTGGCGCAATTGGACAAATAAAATTCCCTACCTTTAGTCTACACCAGGGGTGGCATACTCCGGCCCTCCAGCTGCTGTGAAACTACAAGTCCCATGAGGCATTGCAAAACTGACAAGTTACATACATGACTCCCAGAGGCAGACGCATGATGGGATTTGTAGCCAAGCACAGCTGGCGGGCCGGAGTTGCCCACCCCAGGTCTAAACAGTTTTAGAACCACCTAAAACTCTAGGGAAGGAACTGAAGCTAATAACTCAGGTGCCCACCTGCTGAGCTGAGAGAGCTCGATGTCGTCTGCCAGCGTTTTGTGCACTTCCTGTATCTTCCCCGCCAGGCACTCGGACACTTCCTGCATCTGGTGCTGCACGGCACACAGCTGTGTGGTCACCTGGACGGACTCAGCCCAGCCCTCCTAGGGACACAGAGAAGAGACCACATCAGAGCAGCTAAAAAAATCCTTTCCAAGCATAACAGTGCAGAATTACTAAGCGTATACGAATGATTGCATCAAATGAGCCAATATAGCTGCCACATGTATATGTTTGAGGCTGGTCACATGACACATGTTAACTTCTCTAGCAGTCTTCAGTGATGCAGAGAGCACAGTGCACTCTGCATCTTCACACAGGGAGTGCGGGATGCTGTGGCAACACTTCCTCAGGGGGCGGGTCCATGACAGCCTGCATTCACAGTATGCCCTTTGACGCTGAACATCAAGTCAGCCAAGAACACTGACATCTAGTGGCCCGAAAGCAAATACTGCAAACGCCAGGGGTGGTGAGTATTGCAGTCCGAGCTGCTTTTGACTTTTTCTTTCAAAGCTTATGGGAAGCGTTAAAAAAATAGCCAGAGTCACCAGTTGCCTCACGAAGGGGCTGTATTAAAGTGAACCTTTGACTAAAAATCACATCAGCATGCTGATCTGAAATCATCTTACATTCATTAGCTTTCAAAATTGCTTTCATTTTACTTACAAGTTCTTCCCCCCCCCCCCCCCCCCACCCCGTGCCCTCCTCGCCACAGTAGACCTTTACCCCTTTGACTACAAATCACGTCAGCATACAGCTCTGCATGCCGATATGAAATCTTACATTAGCTAAACATTTTTATTTTACTTTACTTACAATTACCCCCCCCACTTCCTGGTCCACTTTGGCACAAATCATGTAATCGTACCCCAGCATTGCATCCTGGGAAGGTAACATCAGCAGAGCATTACTGGGAAAGCTCACCTGTAATCTTATGAGATCTCAGGGAAAGGCATTTTCCTCCCCTGAGATGTGCATGGTCCAAGAAGTAAAGGGAGGTCTAGTAACCTGCCCTTAGTTAAAATGGCCATTGTGAAAAGAATGGGGAGGAAAAAAAGAAAAATAAGGTATGTAAAGAACACAAAGCCTGCAATTATCTAGAAGTATCTGTCTGTAGAATGTCATTATGGAGTATATTGACAAAACAACGTTCTTTAGTTGTTTCTTTACAAGGCTATGTATTTTAGATGTGTAATGTAATTCCACAATATGGCCACAAGATGGAGCTGAGGAGCGCAGAAAATAAATACCGTATTTTGCGGTCCATAAGACGCACCGGACCATAGGACGCAGGGGGGTCCGGCGCGCCTTATGGAGCACTCGACAGACTGTAGCTTCTGTCACAGCTTCTATGACAGAAGCTGCAGTTAGTGACCGCTGAGACAGGCGAGGCTGTGATTACAGCGCCACGGTCTCAGTGATCACACAGAGCAGACGAAGAACGTTCGTTCTTCGTCTGCTCCATGGTGATCTTGATCGTCGCCGCTGCTCGGTTTTCATACGAGTGATCTCATTAGATCACTCGTATTAAACGAGCAGTGGCTCCTACTACTCGCCCGACGCCCGAAACTGCATGTCTCGGGCGTCGGGATTCGCTCCATAAGACGCAGGCACATTTCCCCCCTCCTTTTGGGGGGAAAAAAGTGCATCTTATGGAGCGAAAAATACGGTACTCATTCCCTATGCACATTTAGCTCCATCATTCGGCATTCGGCATGCTCCATGCTCAATCGACATATATCTGCACAGAACGAATGTTCACAGAGAGAACTGCGAAAGGTTTAAAAATAGAGCGGATCTGAGAGTACATAGGCAGTAATGGCTTTCTGTAACAAACAAAACAAGAGACGCGGGTGATATACATACCTGTATCAGACTGTTAAAGGATGGCAGGTCACCCGCAGAGCTGTGACGGTCACCCTCATAATAAGATCTGAAACACAGAGACATCCAATCACTGAACTGCAAATTCAATCCGGGAAACTCGGTGACAAGACCACTTCCTGCAAGTCCGTTGACCTATCTTTAATAGTAATCTATCATGCTGCCCATTCAGAAATCTCCTCCGACCTCCCTGACCATCACAGCTACCAATGTGGCCAAGTTTATGTGGACACCCCCCTTCAAATGATGTTTGGTGTGGAGGAAGTCGAACATCCTGCACAGAGCCCTGACCTCAACCCTTCTGAACACCTTTGCGATGAATTGGAACACCGATTGGGAGCCAGATCTTCTCATCCAATCATCCAACATCAGGACCTGACCTCACAGATGGGTACAAATTCCCACAGACACTCTCCACAATCTGGTGGCACGCCTACCCAGTTGGGGCCGTTATAGCTGCAAAGGGAAACCAACTGCATATTCATGGCCATGGGGGGAGGGGGGAAAATAAGGCAGGCGACTCCATATTTATGGTCATGGTTTTGGAATGGGATGTCCATCTAGCTCAAACAGGTGTGATGGTTAGATGTCCACATACCAATTGGCCATATAAAAGTATCAAATAGAGATGGACTCATCCTAGGTCCCACTTCTTATTAGAACTATGGGGTCAGTGTTTTTCCCCATAGTTCTCCTTAGGGTAACGGGAGGACACAAACTAGCATCCTCCCGTTACCCTAAGCTCAGAATACTGCGAGCTACAGCTCGCGGTATACTGAGACGCCGGAGCGGATCCCGACCTGGACGTCGAGATCGGCCCAGCTGCGTGAGTGACAGCTGGCTCTGCCTATCTAGAGGCAGAGCCAGCTGTACCCGCCCCCTCCCCCGTCCGTTCGTCAGCGCTGGCGGATCGGAGCGGGGAGAGGGGAATCCAGCCCCTCCCCCTGCCACGGCAGACAGCCGTGACAGGATCGAGAGGTGAGTGAACCCGGCATGTGTTCGCTCACCTCCCGATCTACTGAGCCAACCTGTGACAGTCATTGTCACAGGTCGGCTAGAACTATGAGGCGAGTGGAAATCACTCGTCTCATAGTTCTCCTTTAAGGACGGCCCTGTAGTCCCCACCTGCTCTTCAGATGCAAAAGGTCTTTATGTACTGTGAGAGATTACCTCGTCTGTTTGGAGGTCTCCAGGGCGTCTCTGCTATCATGGACGTCACAAGGGGTCTCAGAGATGTTGCTGGACGTCTGCGAGGGGTCGGCAGCAAGAGAGGACTGGAGCAGTCTCATGTCCCGCGTGGCCTCCAGAGCCAGGTGCTCCAGGGAGAAGACGATGTGGTTGGGAGGGTGAGAGCTCCAGACTTTCTATGGGACAGAAAAATATACGACAGGTTAAAGCTGAACTCCGGGAGTTAAAATTTCTAGCGGGTTTTTATTTCCCTCTGTAATCCCATTGGGGAGATTTTTCCCTCACTTCCTGTCCCAATGACACCTGTACAGGAAACAGGGGGGGAGCGGTCATCCAGGACACACAACAATAAGACAAAGTTCAACCCTTTTCCACTATACTAAAAATGTGTCAATAATGGACAGATTTCCCTTCACTTCCTGTCCTAACAGGAAGTAATGGTAAATCGTCCCAATATGGACATAGATGGCAATAATAATACTTTAAAAGCTGTGACCCCTCCCCCATTCTCAAACGAAAAAGTGGGAAAATGATCACATCAGAGCGAACCTTTAAATTGCTTTTGCGCTTACCTCCGCCATGCTCATCCACTGCTGGTGAGCCAGAGAACGAAGCTCCTCCCCTCCGGCCCTGCGTGGGATAAACGTCATACTTAGAACAGACGCAGAGAAGGAAGGAGGGAAAATAACAGAACGTAGTTCAGCGTCCCAGCAGGTCACTTACAGAGAAGAGCCGGAGACGGAGTCATCGCGGAGAGAGCGCAAAAACTGCAGCCGCACTTGGCAAGCTCCTCTGACGTCCCTCTGTGAAAGGAAACGAGGATTTAGAGGTCATCAATAATAAGAGAAAACACAGGAAATAAAAGTCACTCCCGGTCCCCACATCTTCCTTTACATTTCCTCCCATCAAAATATTCTCATTCCTGCTAAATTCAACCCGAGGAGGTGCAACCGGCGACCCCAACCGTAACAGACCTAAGTGGTACCGGGGGCCCCCCAGCCATGACACTATCTGCATGGCGTTTGCAGATTCTCCCTGTGCTTGTGTGGGTTCCCTCCCATAATCCGCTTTCCTCCCACGTGGCAAAGACCTGCAGGTAAGTTAAATGGCTCCTGTCTACATTGGCCCCTAGTATGTGTATGTATGTATTTGAGATGGGGCCCTGTAGTTTCCTTCAAGTAACTCTTAACCCTTTCGCTGCCAAGCCCTCCGGAACATTTTTCAAATCAGCTGGCCAAGCCATTTTTGAATTTTCTGCAATTTTTTCCCATTGATTTGATTTTCAACTGCTGCGTTGCTAGCGTTTGTAAAAGACCCCCAAACCATATATTTTCTGAAAGCGCAGGCCCGGTAGAATAAAAAGATGGTGATACTAAATTTGTAGGCCCTGCGATAATTGCGCAAATGTTTCTCAAATTAATATTAAACCGATAAAAATACACAATTCAATTGTTAAAACACACCAAAATCAGTATCCGTGCACAAAAAAAAAAATATTTTTTGACTAAATCTAAAAGATAAAACTGTATTGAGTTAATAAATAACAAATATTAGCAAATTTGTAATTGCGCCTTTTTGCGAAAAGGTAAAAAAATGAAGGTATGCAAAACTGTAAATAATCGACTTATGTAAAAAATTGTTTTGGTGTTTGTGTTGTGATAAAATAAAAAAAAACCCATTTACCCGCCGGTTAGCTTCCGCAGCCGACGGGTGAACGGAAGCAGCCGGGACCAACAGACTGCTATTGGCCATTTCAAAATTGCAATAGACAAATAGCAGGCTGGCTAATGAAACCCCGCCTACTAAGCAGAGGAGCGGACCCGAGAGAGAAAGTTCTCTCAGGTCCGCTTCTCTCCTCAGTGGGCGGGAGTTCTAATAGACCGCCTGCTATTGGCGATTTGAAATAGCCAATAGTAGACCGGCTATTGCTCTCCCTTTTGTACATTCTGCTGGCCGGCTCGGGAATCTAGCCGCCGGCCGGCAGGAAGATGTAAACAAAGAATTTGCCAACTAAATGTTGTTAGTGTGCACCAAGCCACTGCCGAAAAAAAATAAAATATTGGAGGACATATTGGGTCCTAGATTTTATTTGCCGGTTGCTTGAGAGTGCCGGATAATGTGGAGTTTA